TGTTCAGTTCATCATCCGTTGCCTCATTTTTTGAACATCACCAGGATTTTTAAGCATCTGTGCAATGCATATACCCACCAATGAATTCCATGGGAATTATAAGTTATGTTTGCATAACACATATTTTTTAAATAATTTTAAAATATACTTTAGTTTCATAAACACATATCTCTTCGAAATTGCTTAATACGCTAGCACATCTCAATGATTGTACAGTTTCCGACACAAAAATCAGCAACCTCCCACACCCCCACATTCTGGCAGCGACGCACGGAGTAATGTGCCGTTTAGTTTTTCTTAGTTAAGTGCTAAAAAATACCATTCTAAAAAGCTGATCAGCTGGATTTCCTACAACCATCTCTGGCATTAACGTTCTCTATGATGTGCGTGTTTATCTTAAAAGTTGAACAAATTGGCGGAGATGGCACCAGTGGCGGCGGGAATTGCGTAGCGTTCTATGCAAGCCATTTACTCGCAGCGCGGGACGGTGGCCCGAATCACGTGTAGTTTGAAATAGAATTACAAAACTTAGAAAAGTATATCTGTCATCAAACATACTGAAGAAAAATGTAAGATTTGCTACTGCAAATAACTTTTTAATAAAGATAAATAACATTACGAAATAAAATGTTCAGCATGAGGATTGGTAAGTTGGAAAAGTTAAATAACATTTTTTTACGTAATTCAGTTTAACTTTCAAACGTCAGCAGAAAATCATCCTCTTTTAGTGCAAAACAACTCAAGTATATGAAAAATATGACGAAATGCAGAGGGAGTAATATAGTGAGCGAAGGCGAAAAAAAACCTAAAACGTTTAGGCCGAGTAAAAATATTCCATTTCGGAGGGCTTTTAAATGTCATTTAACTGTGTAGCCGCGATAAGTATTCCGCCCATTTTTACGCCACCAGTCGCGTTACACCTTTTTATGCTTTAGAAGAAATTTTTAGAAACATTTCTTTCCTGGTTGGGTTTAGAGTGGCATCGCAAAACTGCCTCGCGATAATAATTTTTTCTGACTTTTGGCGGCATTGTTTATGTTAACATCGTGCGTTGTAGTTTGTGCGTATTGTGAGTGTTATCGTTGTGTCTTAGTTATTACAAAACACTACCGAACTTCACAACTACTTATTCAAATGGTAAAAGATGTAGAACGGTAGAAAAAGGTGAAAACGAGTAAAATTCTAGAAACAAAGACGAAAATACCATATATTGACGAAGAAGAAGAAGAAGAAGAAGAAGAAGAAGAAGAAGAAGAAGAAGAAGAAGAAGAAGAAACTGATGAGTCAGAAAATGCACGAGCTTTATGTTAGATGTGTTGTTACAAACCTGCATTTCCCGAAACTATTATTTTTTCATGTTTCTTTCTCTTATACTATTGCACATAAATCTATAAAAGTTTTACCACATGTGTATCATATGCCCGTGATTTGTTTTTTTATATAGAAATTCAATAATTGAAAACTCAGATACGACATCGAATCGTTATAGAAAAATACACTGCGTGTTAAAACATTGCCAGTGTAAAATTTTACAGGGTTTCATTAAATAGTTTTATAGACCTCCCTTTCAAACTCACAACCACTGATCTTTAAACTCTGTTATTTGGCCAACACTTCCTCCTCAGCATTTTTTCCGGGTCTGGCGCTCCCTTCGCACACTTCACAATATTCTGTTGATTGTCCGAAAGTGAATTTGATTTATATATAATAATCTTACTTAACTTTTCTAATGAATTTTTCCTTATGCTGAATCCATATGTTGTAATATTCCAGTGCTGTTATCTTTATTTAAGTATCTATTTACATTTGGAAATGTATACCTTTTCTAGTTTCGTATAATAACTAATTTTACACGCATGCATGTGAATTTCTTTCTACGTTTAATTTGGATCCCTACCCGCTAAGCAGGCAATTGAATGGCTTGGATTATAACGCCACCACAACTACTGTCACCGCCGCCACTGCCTTCTGCGCCAATATCCTCAACCTATAACACGCCTATCATAGGGAACGTTCATGCTAGATGTGATGATTGTAGGAAATCCAGCATATATTGGCAGTTGGTTGAGAATGTTGTTTCACAAAAGATAACTAAAACAGGTGGCACTGTGTACTCAGTACAGCGCTGCCAGAATTTGCAAGAAACTGGCACTTAGAATTGGAACACTATTACCCTTTGCGGTAAAGTCCAAGAATAAATTTCAAATTTCTTTCTTCGCACCCTTGGAGGAAATCTTTGTCAACATTTCATCCAGGTGAGAGGCGCGGTAACCAACCGTTGGCTCCTGACCTAGTGTCAACATGATTGACGCAATCTGCCAAGAGGCAGCACAAGCGCCTCCTCGTCTCTTCTCTGGCGAAGCGGTCCCCGTCCCCGTCCCCCTCGCCGGCGAAGGGCAGGCGTTCGCGCGCGCTCGCTATTCCGCAAAATGCTTCTCACCAGGCACAGTCGGCCTGGCCGTGCATTAGAGCGTTCACCAATGTCCCAGAGACAAAAATAGGTAATGAGCCATTTTTCAATCAATTAAAATTATTTTTACAAATTGAAATTTGCACTGAAACGGCCGGGTAGTATTCTGCAAATTGTGCCTCTGTTGAACAGTGCAAAAGAGCACTTGAGTTGCAAATTGATAGTTTAATTGTTACTAAAATGCTAAATATTTACAGGTCTATTGATACCAATGTTTGACCAAAACGCCTACTTTCAAATAATTTTCCATCTCATCGTCGTGCAGACAAAAATCTGCACGTCGACAGCGAGAAGCCACGCTCCCTACGGTAATAAATGTGGCCTCGCCCTCGGGAGAGCGTTTTTCTGCCCCTTTACGCAAATTTTTTTATTAATTAATTGATTATTGCGATAATTAATTGATTTTGCGCTAATCATATGCTAGATACTAAGGTTGTAAGGGCTAGTGCTTGATCTACGCGCCTCTCCCCCGGATCCAGCATTACCCAAGATTGCCTGCACGGTTGCGAAAAAAGATTTCTTTTGGAAATTTCTTTTTGGGGTAAGTGTACAACTCTTCTAAGTGTCTCAACTTCTCAGACCACAAAAATCTACTGAAGGGATAAAATATATTCTAAAGTGACATAGGCTATTAAATAAACAGATGACCCACACTTTATCAAATTTTATAATTTAGTTAAAAATATGAGTATGATTTCTAATAATGAAATCATGGCTAAGTACTGGCGTGTATGAATGATGTGTGTGTGTGTGGGTGTGTGTCTGTACTCTGGCCATAACCGTCAAACTCTTAATCGTTCATTAGGCGCATCGTTTTTACTTTTCCGTATACATACGTATATACGGAGTAATATACGTAATAGAGAGAAAGTTATGTAAGTCTGTGCGCAAAAACGGTCGATTTTCGGCAAAAACAAATCATTGCCGGGCCCTGATAACGAAAAAGTGAATAAATCCAGTTGCTAAATTAAAAAGTCCTCTAACACGTGGTGTAGCCAGAATATCTGTTTTATGGATCCTTGATACCGAAAAATTAATTGTCGCCAAAACGTCTGTCCATCTTTCTTTCTGCGCGTCTGTGTGACTGTCTGGTGTGTGGGAACACTACTAATGCGTAAGACTTTTTCCAAGAAGAAGAAATCCCTGTTCATCTGGCTCGAGCTGAAACTTTGAGATTTTGAAAAAAATTTTTTTTTAAAATCTGGGGATAGTTTTCACGAAACCCTGCGGACATTTTCAAATTTTCTCAGAAACGGCTCTAAATTTTCTCTTTAAATTTCTTGTAAGAATAAAGTATTACACACGGAAGAATAAAGTATTAAACGTGGCATAGGTCCTATTTTCACGGTTAACTCTGAAATTTCGAAATTTTTAAAAGTGAATTTTTTCGGGGTCTTCCTACAACTACAAAATTACAGATAGAGATTTTTTATTCAAATGAAATTGGTTGTCCGTAGTTGGTTTTTTTCATTACGATCATGTACATTTTTTGAAACTTTTAGTAGAGCTCTGTGCAATATTGCATGCAATATGTGCAACAAAATACAAAAACAAGTTTTTTGTCAAAAAGGGCTCCAACTTTTTTCTTCAAACTTTTCGAAGAGAGTGATACTTGCACTCTTTAACATGGAATAAAGTTAATTTCAAGGTATTTTTTTTCAAAATTACAGGAATATAATTTTTATGTAACATCTTTCACCCCTGTAATTTGCACATTTCCAGCGACTTGTAAACACTATTGTATTTATGACTGGAAGTGTTTAAAATGACTTCCAATGAATTTTTTGGATACTCAGTAGTTTTCTGTGAAAAGAGTTTCAAATAGCGCAAAATTTTCTTAAAAACGACTCCAAATTTTCCAAAAAAGATAATTGCCATTCAGGTCGGTGTTTTACTGTTCTTTAATATTCATAAAGTAATATTTCCTTTATATATTATGAAACCGACATATGAAGAAAATGTCAAAAAATGTACTTTGGGTGGAGATTCGTAGATGGCAGCTACCAAGAGTATGTGGGAAGTCCGAGTAGCTAGCTGAAACTGAAGGAAGTGGAAAACTAATGCGGGAGAGTCTGTGCCATTCTGTGGCACCATTAGTTTGGAATGTGATTAGTTGCGCAGTGTCTGCCAGCTCCATGCAATATTTCTTGTTTTTTTTCTTTTCAGGACAATCTATTTATCTACTCGGTGCAATTTATTTTTTACGTCGTCTCAAGAAGTGTTAAGAATGTATTCGATAAGAAAAAATATCATTGTGTATTGTATATGTTTGAAATGACTTATTTTATATATTGTTGTACTAATAGAACTAGAAAAAGATTATTAATACTTAAAATATGAGTCAGAGTTTGTCAACGCCTGTAACAATGATGAAGCCACCGCGAGAGTGTCGAATGTTCAAGACCTTTCCCGGAGAATTCTGATCCGCAGGTAGAGCGTGGGTCATCCTCTTAGATGGAAGGTTGCAAGCGAGAAGAGGGGGTAAAAGAGGAATATGGGTCGTACTGTATCGGCAGGTGGGCAGCTTGTAGCTGGGCGGAAGCGCCGGCGAATCGGCGCCACCTGGAACGAAGTGCGAAGAATTATATAGAGGACTTCCTGTAACAAGGGGCCAGTTTGACAGGCTAAGAAAGAAATTATCATGTAGGGTGATGGCATAGGAAGATATAGTGATGAAGCAATTTACATATGAGCTTCTGTAAACGAACGCATTGACGAATTGAGTGAAGTTATGTTGCCAGCAGTAGCTGTCAAAGCGATCTATTCGTATAGTAATTTCTTTCTCTATATAGAATTGTTTACTAGATGTAATTTACAACATAAAATGTTAATCTCACTCATTACGCAGTATTAAATCACAACTGGTGAATATGATCTAATTCGTTACAAAGTTTCATTAAAATTCTTCTATATATAATTATTGATGTAATTTCAATATTCTTGCTTATGTTACAATAAATAAGAGTCTATATTAGTACTGTAACTAGCTACAAATGAATTATTTTCAAGCGAGTTAAATGTGCAGGTCTATCAATAATTGAAGTGAAATATAATTATTTTTTCAGAACTTCTTTTTTTCAGAATTGATTTTGTAATGTTTTAGTCTGAATTATACATTTTTAAAACGAGACAAAGCATACGTTAGCTAATGTGAAGAAAATATTTATTATGCGATATATTTTAAGCAAAGACGATTCTATTGGCATATGGTCGGTAAATAAGTTACTTATTATCTTTATCATCTTAATATTTATTATCTTTATATTATATTGATCATGGGCACACGCACTATAATCTTCCCAAAATTTAAAATATATTGATAATAGAATATAAAGTAATATACTTAAACATGGTTTAAAATTATAATTTTGTTTGAGGTGCAATATTAGTAGTGTGAAATTGATACACAAATACTTGCAATTACGAAAACTAGATAAAATCTTTATTAACACTTCATTAACGTTAATTGTTCGTTTCAGGCTCGTTTATAATCTCAAGATCCTTCCCAAAACTGACTATTTTTAATCTCGTAAAGAATGGTTGTGCTACGAACTATAGTATTTATTGTAAATGGAGAATCACATACCTGACTTAGAACCTTTGGCGCCTTTCTGATCTCTTTTGTCCTTTTTCTGCCCCTTCTTTTTATCTTTGGAACTACCGCGACCTTTCTTGCCACCTTTGGATCCTGAAAAAATAATTGTTTTCTCATTGTTATAATTAATCCAGAATTTTTCTCACTGTTAAAATTATTAAAGAATAATCTAGCTGCTATAACTGAGTAGACTGAAATTTACTCGGTCATCAAATTCAATAAATACATGAAGAAATACCAATAAAATGTTTAAAAATGTTATTACTTCTGAGACTATTATTGGGGGACAAAATTACTTTTCTCTAGTATTTCGTAAAACGTTTGTTTCCGAGTAACATTTTAGATAAAACAATTGCAACACTTATTTTAACAAGTATAATAATGTATACAAATCGCCGTAATGAAAACATAATGTTCGCCGTAAATTTAATGTAAATATCAAAGGACTGTGAGAGATTACAAGAAAAATACAATATCGTTATTTTTGACAAAATAAAAGAATAAAGACAAATTGCATTTACACAGTATATTTAGCAATATGTCTACCAGAATTAAAAAAAACATCGTAATCGTTTTTGCGAACATTTTCTGTGTGTTGATTTTTGAGTATTGTACATATTACAATCAGTATTGTGCTAAAACTATAAAAAGTTTCATAAATATATACGAGACTATTAAAAGACCTTTTTATCGAGAACTAACTTCATTTGTAGGAAATATCTTTATCTTCAATTTTGTAGTTTTAGAAAGACACCGAAAAAATGTATCTTTGGCAACTATCAAAAAAATGTATCTTTTGCAACAGGAAAATCGGACCTATGCCAGTGTGAGAAGTTTAGTTCACTATATTCTTACAATAAATGTAAAGAAAAAATGAAGCTATTATTGAGAATATTTTAAGAATGTTCCTGGGGCATCATATAAAGAACACTAAAATTAGTGGATCTAAATCAAAATCGCAGAGCTTCAATCGAGCCCAGATAGATCGGGGCTATTCAGTTTGGAAAATAATCGATGCAGAGTTTAGTGGCAGTGTTGTTCATGGCAGGTCGGACGGACGTTTTGTAAAAGACACGTTGTCGTTATCAGGGACCCCAAAACCAATACTTCTATTTAAACCTCGAACTCGATTGCTTGCAGCATTACATAGCTTTGTCTATACTACGCATATTACTCCGTATGTACGTACGTATACGAGAAAGTAAAAACATGACATGGAAACGTCTCTAAACCAAGGGAGATGAAGTTTGCGATAACGTTGCAATAAGCACCAATTACAAAGGAATTGTGGAATGTTTGGCAGATACACAAAAGAAAAGAGCTAACAGTAGTGTTTTAAGAGAGCCTCATTTTACGCCGATGAAAAGGGGTTGGTGAGGTAGAATCGTAGCGCCTACATTAGAATGTTTGGCCCTCGCCAGAGTTCACAAAGTTACCAAGCTGCTGTGTGTAAGATGACAATAAACGACATTTTTTAGAATATGAAGATTATTTTGTTGAGGAAAAAAGAAGAAAACAAAACGTGAAGGAGTAGAACTACTCATCTACGACGATATATATATTTTTTGCCTTATTGGTAACAGTTACGTATTGCAATATTTTAGGAAGTTAAAAAGATTAAAATAAAGAACAAGAAAATGAAGAAGACGAAGGCGTGTTCGTGTCGTGTATGAGTCGCGCTGGGGCGGGCTTCGTGTTTGCGTCTCTTCATTACTTAAGTTCCGCACTAATTTATACTAATGCAGCATTCAATTAGAGTTTAAAGAAGTATCAGCTATGTAATCACAAGGTTAGTCGGTATTTTGACCGAATTAGAAAATTGCAATATATCCCTCCCTATTTTATTTACGATGTAAAAAAATTGGTGTAGTGTTCAGAGTGGTTAAAAAATATAGCCCGTACCTTCGAGATCATGAAAAACGTGAAGAGTACTTAGTTGGGAACTTTTTCAAGAAACGATGACTTTAGGGGTATCATTGCATGTTTTTACACATAATCAATAGACTCACATCAATTTTACACATAATCAGAAACGAGCTGTTCGACATTGGCTTTTATTTTACACCTGGCTGTAATTAAACAAAAATTTCCTAATACAACTATTACTTACATGTGATTTTAGTGACAATTTCTCAATTGTAGTTAAATGTTCTTTTAAATACACTTACTACATGTAATTGAGAAAACACTTTTTGTTTTCAAAAAACTATTACCATAAAAACCTTCATGCGATGGGCTGTAGAAGTTGAAATTGCTAAATCACCCTCAAACCTCTTAAATATAAGGATAGAGGGAGTGTAAAAAATCTTAGAAAAGTAACGAGCAATGTAATACATGGCTTGAGAAGGGACTTACTAGCATCGGCGCGTCCCTTGCGGTCCTTCTGCTTCTTCCTTCGGTCGCCTTCGGCGTCGCTGTCGTCGTCCCTATCGGACCTTCCGCCGCCGCCGCCGCCGCCGCCCCTGCCCTTGGCGCCGCCGCCGCGGCCCTTGGCGCTTCCAGAGCGCTGCCCGTCCCTCGCGCCGGCCTTTGCGGAGCCCTTGCGGCCCTCTTCTCCGTCCGACTCCTTCCCTTTCCCATATGCTGAAATGCGTCCCCTCAAATACACTCTATAATGAGATTTGCTTTATTAGGGCTGTGAAACCTATGTTAAACGACCATTAATGGTTCAAGAGAAAAATTGACTTTAGCACAGGCCACTGATCGGAGAAACAGAGAATGTGAGAAGTGTAAGTCTCATCTAATTTTTAAGTTTGTAATAATGTCCAGTATGCTTTGTTATCTCGTTAATATTCTTAATCGTTAACGCTCAAAAATCTACGATAAACCGAAAGGTTTGTTTTTCCTATTGCACGAGTGCAAAATTAGCAACTCATACAAACTCTTTCAGTTTCAAACATAAGCAATATTTTCTTTTTACAACACTTGTTGTTTCATACCATTTGTGGTTCTTATTCCTCACTAGATTTAAAGCTGCAATTCACTCTCTGGAAAATCCTAAAAAAACATAACTGTATCTAAAAAAACATTAATTCTCACGTCAAAGAAGCAACACTCGATATCACTGTTCTAAATAACCTCAGTTCCCTCGCGATGAGGGGCTATACTGAATCAATAGCTTTTCGACTCTTAAAGCTTTACGGATTAACCAGACTCCCGCGCTAAGATTTGTTGAGGGTAAGATATGACCCGCAATACCAATCTCCCGTAAACCACCCGCCATATTTCACTGGCGGAGGGACTTTTGAGCATACATTAAGTTGCAGGAAGCAGGGGCCAACCCCAACGGAAATTGTCCACCAGATGGAAGTATTGTCACCTGTGACTTGTTCTTCACTTGGCAGGCGAGCTGAGGAAGGTGATTTTGCGCCTAATTCAAACGTTTAAAGCCGCAAATCCATGTGTGGAGGTTGAGAAATTGTTTGAGAGATCTCGACCCCGCAATTGCTCATTTAAACGTTATTGCATTGCATTTCTAGTTCACAATGTGTTTTGAAAGGGAACTTATGTTGTACATTGTGCTTAGCATTATCATCAGTGTCTTTTAATAACAGAAAAAAACTACCCGGTTAAGCAGAAGAACGAGGGGGAAATTCCCCTGAATGGGTATAAGTACAAGGGCTAAAAAGTAAAGGAAAACAACTTCCTGGGGGGTGCGTCATTGCCAAAACAGCAGTCTGTCTACCTCGATAATTATAGACTTGTGTAATACATTTCATAATAAAATTCGTAAGGTGAGAAAGTAAAACAATTAGTCTTACTATTTTAATATGGTTCAAGTATTATTCATCCAAAAATGTATAATCGTCGGGGGAAGCTATTAATACCATAATTATTGTTTTGAGTTCTTATTGCAATCTATAAGAATTAGACTTCACGATGAACATGCCTTATATAACACATACACCGTAATACTTTCTTCAACGTAATACATTATTTCAACACGTTAGTATAATTTGGATATGTTCATCACACTACTCTGCACTTACTACACTATATTCTATATCACATTTCAAAACAACTATATACACTGTATTAAAAGACTTCTCCACATTGCTATGACTTAAGTTACTCTCAACCAGGTATTTTCTCGTTACAGCCGTATGTTTTAAGGTTCCTTAACGTGACACTGATTTGAGAAGCGAACGCCGCTCTTCACGGCTATTGAAACCCATCGTGACTAAGAATCAACAGTTGATGCTCAAAGCCAATTCGGGCCGATTCAGTGAGCATCACGTTATGCTTCTCAGCATTCAGCAGACAACGTGATAAATTTTTCCAAAATTAGTTCAATGTAAGTAAGAGAAATATAAGAATTCATTATCTTTTGGAATGACATCCTACTTGATGTGAAATCGCAACAGAAAAGCACGTACCTTCGTGATCTTCGTCCTTTGCTCCCCCCTTACAACAGTTAAGACATTTGTTGCTACTTTTTTTCTCGTCTTTCTTCTTATCTTTCTCTTGGTCTTTGTCTGCGCCCTTGCCCTTGCGCCTGTCTTTATCTTTGCCTTTCCCTTTCCCTTTGCCTTTGCCTTTGCCCTTGTCTCTTCCTCTTCCCTCGTCATCGCTTCTGCCTCCGCTCTTGTCCCGTTCCCTACTCTTCTCCCGGCTTCTATCTTTACTACCGGAGTCTTTCTTATTCTTGCCGCTGTCCTTGCGGGAGCGACTAGAACCCCCTCTACTGCCCCCGCCCCCTTTCTCCTTCTCCTTGTCCTTGTCCTTTCCCTTGCCGCTGCCGCCTCTGGATCCGCCCTTTCCTTTGTTCTCCTTTTCCTCCTCTTTCTTCTTGCGCAGTTCTTCCTTCACTTGTTTGCAACATTCACTCTCCGACTTGCTTTTATCTTTATCTTTATCTTTGTCCTTTTCATCTTTCTTGTCATCTTTTTTGTCTTTCTTACTATCTTTATCTTCGGGCATCTCTGGAGAAAAATATGAAAATTGAGTTAGAAAATCAAATGACGCAACTTGACGGTATGGCGTACCGTTAAATAATTTAAAATGATCGAGAAGCAAAAACAATTGTTTAATAACTCATTCAATACGAGATTTGTATTAATCATCCTTCACAAACATTACTTCACAAAAATATTTAAAAACACGAAAAGTAAGTCCATGTCAGTAGAAAACGGTAGTTGACTACATTTAGTTTTTCTAACTGAACATATAAGAATATTTCCTCAACAACCCACTATTCAAACGGCATTACAGAACTCGATATTTCTCTTAGATGGCGGAATAATTCCAAGCTCATTTTCATTTGCGTTCGTCCATTACATCAGCTGCAGCTAAAACGTTTATTACTGAGATGTATATCGCGCTGATTAAATCGATACTTAACGTAGTGAAACTGTTTGTAACTTCATCTACGATAATTTACTTATGCTCTATATTCAAATTTGTTTTTATACTAAAAATAAAATAAACTTGTTTTATATTCCTTGAACTATGTTATGAATAGTTGTTGCTGATTTAAAACGAACATATGATTTTATTCTTGAACTGCAACTTAGCCAACTATAAATGTTTACATAATCACAGCAAACAGCATAAGTTCTGATCGAAGTGTTTCATATGATTCTGATGAAAGTTGATATTTGTTTACTTGAAATATCATATTTTCAAAATAAAGAAATTTCACAACTTTTTATGTCAACAATTACACTGTGTACACAGTGCACATCATCAATCTCTAGTAAGGAATTATTGTTTTAATTTTGGGGCGAGGAAGACAATGACACAATACCACATATCACAATAAATAATAAAAAAATATTTTCATTATTTATTTCTTCCCTGGAGGGTCGTGACATGCAACCTGTCAGTAATTTAACGTCACTGTCTCGATGGGGCACGGCACAATTAGTATTTTTAAATAATTTAATTTTTAATGCTGACCTTTTTCTCTTGGCGGAAACGATGGTTTACATGTATCCTTTTCTTTCCCCTTCTCTTTGTCCTTTTCTTTTCCCTTATTCTTGTCTTTCTCCGAATTCTTTTCTTTCTCTTTATTCTTACTTTTGCTGCTATCTTCTCTCTTAGTCATACTGTTCGGCTGATTCACCGTACACGAACCCCCTCAAGTCATTTTCCTGTTAAAATATTTTTAAGATATAATTGAAAGGTACTAAATTAAAAACATATATACGCATACAGTTACATACGCAACAGATCACACACACACGATGATAACCTCTGAACATTGAAGTTTGCAACAGATTATTATAGCAACAGATAATACAAATTATACTAAAATGTACAAGAACTATTACATTCAGCACACTTCGATCTTCAGGCCTTCATATTTACGCATTATTTTACACTTGGAAGTATTTGACGTTGCATGTTAATCTTCTTGGATTAAAAGATTCCACGTCATTCAGCCGTTATAAATGTATTTTTGAAAGAAGAAGACGGCATTTTTGATAATTAGTTTTGCTGTTTCCTATAGGGATTTTCTTTAGCGAGTTTTAAAATTTTATGATCCATTTTGAGAAGCCATTGTTAGCTTCTTCTGAAGTGTTTTTGACGGTCAAAGCCTTCTGAATTACGTAAGAACCAGATCATTTGCAAGTGACACACATGTTTGGTTATTCTAAATACAATTTCTCTCTTTCTGATGCATTTTTTTTGTGTGGAAAACATACTCTACAAAATATATCGATATTGTGGAACGGAAAAAATGATTTAATGGATCGACATAACGATACATATATTTTAAAACGAAAAATAAATAAAGAAATTTATTTCTTCAAATTTTAGCTTCTTTCATCACCGACAAGATAAGTATGGTTCATGTTTTCACAAATAAATTAATTTAATTCAAGAATAAACGAACGTAAAAACAATTTCATTACCTAACGAATAGTACAATGAGACTTATGTAGCGCCCGGATTGTAAAACAATTTTTACTTTCACGTACACATACGTGTTTGCGGAGTAATATACGTAGTATAGGGAAATGTTAATTGTAGTACAATGTTTACTTTCAAGTATACATACGTTTATACGCAGTAATATACGTAGTATATACATTGCTGGGCCTTGATAACAAAAAAGTGGATAAATCCAGTTTCTACATTAATAAAAATAATCTCTAACGCGTTGTGTAGGCAGAATCCCAGTTTTGTGGGTTCTTAATACCGAAAGACAAAATGACTGACGGCAAAATATCCGTCCATCTGTCTGTCGGTCTGTGAACAGCGCTGGCTCCTTAACCACATGTAATATTGTTTTCCAAAATCGATATTCCCCATTCGATCTGTCTCCACTCAAGACACCTCGATTTTGGAAAACTTTCTTCAAAATTTGGGTGTTCTTTACATGAAGGCTCCGGAATATTTTCAAAATTTTCTACAATACGGCTCCAACGTTTTCTCCACATTTCATGTAAAGATAAAATAAAATACACTTGTGCAGGTGACATATGTCCGTTTTTCACGGTTAACTCTAAATTTTCAAAACTTGCAAAATTTGATTTTTGTGCGCGTTTACAACTAAAAAATTGAAAATGATTTTCCTTCAAATAAAATTTATTCTTGACAGTGAGTTATTTTGTTAAGGTCAAGGTTAAAGTTTGCTTGATAGTTTTAGTAATAATTGCGCAATACTTCGAACAATATGTGCAATTTAAAAAAACGAAAATTAGATTTTTTTAAAAACAGATCCAATTTTTTCTTTAAACTTTTGGTAGGGATAGTATTAAATGTACTCTAAAGAGATGACATAAACACTATGTTTGTCTCCTCTTTAATTTCGTTCAAAAATCACAAAAATGTAATATTTTGATTTGTCTCTCACGTCGGTAATATTTATATTAGCGTTAATTTGTTCACATTAGTATATTTATGCGTTTACGTGCTTTAAATAATACCATATACAGTTTCTCCAAACCTTAGGAGTTCTGTGAAAACTGCCACAAAATTCCGCATTTTTAGAAAAGCTCAAACGCCGTTGGCTCGAAATTCGTTCTTCAGACTTTTTGACCTGATAATGCTAATTACACTCTTTAACTCTCTTATGCATGAATTATGATACTGATCAATAAAAAATACTTCTGCTTCTTTTTTCATCAAATTATGTACCAATATGTTCCAAAAGGGAATTTCTAAATCTTCCTTCTAGAATTTTAAAAATTCATCTGTCTCATTTGAGGACATCATGGAAATAAAGCAGATCCAATTAGATTTTTAGACATTGCTGAAGGAGAAAAATATTTTTTTTCACAACTACAATATCTTTATTTTGACACTTGGATTTTCAATTATTAAAAAAAATCCTTGTAATCTACATAATAAAAGATGTTCAACAGCAATCTACTCATTTTGTTGGTAGGACTCAAAGCGTTGGATATTTCGTATGGCTAAACTGCTATAAGCACTCAAAAGTTGGTTTGAAAAAATGCTTGCTAGGCAGAAATTTTCACTGCTGAAGCATAAAAACACTCCCGAAACATAAAATTTTTTTTCAAAAAGAAATGAATCTATTCGTTCAGAAACAAAAAAATATCCTGAATTAGAATAGTAATCGAATTGTCTAAATTGTGTGATTTTTTATTTGAGTTAATTTTCTCTCTGAACAAATATATTGATTTATTTTTTTAATAATAAACAATTTACATGTTTCTGGAGTGTATTTAAGCTTTTGGAATGCAAAGTTTTGTCTAGAAAGTACTTTTTCAAGCCAGCGTTTGAGAGCTTATTGCAGCGCATCAGAATATCCTATTTGTGTATGAGAGAAAAAATAGTTTCTGTTCTCTTAAGAGTTTATTTGCGAAGTTGCGACGTTTACTCTCTAGACACTGCTGATATGCTAAAGAAATATAGTGCTGAAGAAAATCTATTTCGAGATTTGAACGAAAATACTCCATTTTCGGTCCCCTGATACCAAAAACGTCCGTTCTTCCACCTGTCTTTCGCATGTGGCTAATACTAACGTATAAACTATCCAAAGGACCTTTCCCGAACTGAATCCTCCCGGGTCGACCTGGCCTCACTCAAAGCTCTGTAATTTTTAAGAACATTCTTTAATTCTGGCGTTACATAAACCCCAGTGACATTTTTCAAAATTTTCTTGAAAATTGTTCAAAATGTTTTTTTCAATGATGTCTGATAAAGTTTCTCAAAAATTCAAAACTTTTCTGTGAAAAGCAGCTCCAATTTCTGCATCTTTTGAAACTTTCAAACGTCATTATTTCAACAACGACTGCAAATTTTTTCTTCAAATGTTTAGCACGTATTGTGCGAAATGCACTGTTTAAGATGACATAAAGCCACTTTCCTGTATTGTCTGGTCAACAAAGTTACTCAAATGTTTTTTTAAATACGTTTCTCACCATTAATATGAAAATTCACAGCGAGTATTGCATTTCTGAGGAGAAGTGTTTCAAATGATTTCTAAGAAAGTTTCTCGGACACGAAGCTTTTCTTTTGTGAAGAGAAGATTCCTATTTCGCATTTACAAGGACGCTTAAACATTTTCTAAGAAAGAGCTCCAAATTTTTAATGGAAAATGTCTCTATGGGAAGAGGTTCCCTCATTAGAGAACCGAAAAATAGAAAATATTGTGAAAAAATGTACATTGGGCGGCGATAGTTGGCACCTGGCTACAGGATGGGGCAAGACCGGAAAGCTATCCCAGACCAAAGAAATTATAAAACTAATTAGAACGAGGAAGTCTGTGCCGTTGTGTAGTACCTATAGTTGAAATTCAAGAACCCATTTCAAAAACCGCGTCCCTGATGATTTAGTCAACTCAAGATTTGTTTAAGTCAAAGAACAGACACTCTATTAGTTGAAAAATAAAGCCAAAAACCTATAAAAACCAATATTTGTCGGCAGAGCGTAGTCGGTAGTTTGGTTTACCATGATGCCCGAGCGCGGTCACCGGGTGACGCCCGAGCTGTGTTCTTTGGCCTACCCCCACGATACACTGAAATTGCTCCAATGTTTCTATTTCATTTCCTACAGACTCCTAGTGTTTTCGATCAATTTGAACATCAAGGAAAATCATACCAGCGGTTCATACGAAGAGCAGTTCATGGGTTACTTCACGTGTTGACAGGCCAGCAAATACGTATCTTATTAGAATGTGATTCGGGGAGACATTTAACTTTGTTTCGCATTTAGCTAGATTTCTTTTACAAACCACAACTAAGATAAGGCCATTGTTGCTTTTTGCACTTTATAAATTCCCACACGACCACTGGAATGAAATTCGCGTTCCAAATAACAATCGAAAACAAAAAGTAATGGGAAACACTTGTGATTTTTCTGTGCAATGCAATACACTGAGAAATGGTTTGACAAAATAATTTTCAGACGAAAATCCTTTTCCCAGATTCCTCCTTCCTTTGAGGCAATTACTAAACTAGTACCATGTACAGGTCTCAATGTTGAAATGAATATTGTTAGCCATATGATTAATACTTAGTTTTGAATGATTCATTAGTCGTACACACAAAGATGACAAAAAATGTATCAGTGTAATATGGATTTGTTTTAAAAAATAAACACAATCGAGTAGCCCTAATACAATTCCTTAATTCACTTCGCTTTAGTGTGATCATAACCAGATTGTATAGTTCTGCGAAAAGAGAGATCTACACATGAACTGGTAATGGGCTGATGTGAAACATATTTGTGTGCCTATTGCAGTTAGTAGTAATATAAAATGATACGCTGACTGCATACCTGTAGAACACAAAATTGCAAAGTACTTATGAACAAACATTGTAGCCCTATTGGCCTATTCAGAATTAAGATGACTGATAAGTAATCGTAAAATTATACAAATGCCATAACTTGACATTAAATTCATTGTTTCATTTTCCACCGTATTTTAACTTTGAAGAACAGAATAGTGTCTAAAAATCAATTTCTGTAGATTTGACTCTGCTATCAAAGTGAAAGATGCACATCCCGCCGTGTCTTGTGCTAATAAGCGCACAGGAAATCCAAGTGAACGGCCTCAAAAGACAGAGAGCTGTCTGTTCAGACTGAATTTCCAGTAAGAAAATCCTTGGCGCTCATCGCTGGTGAAACCCA